TCGATCCATAAGAGACACACTCAGGGGGCAGACTTAGTGAGCACCAAAGCCCCATTGAAGCAAGTCCTGCCCCATAAGGGTGTTTCCAGCACAGCAGTTCTCCTGTTGTAGACATAACTGATCTTCACAGCCAATTGGTCTGGAAGTCAATTCCTCCCAGTGATACTAACAGCAATCAAGGCTTAACTACAACAAGACTGTGCACACAGCCCACAAAGGGGTGCACCAAGAGTGTCCACCTCAGGTGACTGGGGAGGCTAAGCCACTGGGCCCTATAGGACACCTAGCACACAAAGCCACTCTATCAACACAGGGAAGCAGCCAAAATGCATAGACAACGAAACATGTCACAAATGAAAGAAATTGAGGAAAGCAAACTACTGGATATAGAGTTCAAAACCACGGTTATAAGTTTACTCAAAAATCTTCTAGAAACCTCTGAGAAATTTAGTGAGACCCTCAAGGATATGAAAAAGGACCAATTAAAGTATACACTGACTGACATAAAGAATAATATACAGAGATCCAACAACAGACTAGAGGATCCCAAGAATCAAGTCAAAGATTTGAAATACGAAGAAGCAAAAAACACCCAACCGGAAAAGCAAAAAGAAAAAGAGAATCCAAAAATATCAAGATAGTGTAAGGAGCCTCTAGGACAACTTCAAGCGTACCAACATCCGAATTATAGGGGTACCAGAAGAAGAAAGAGAGCAAGATATTGAAAACCTATTTGAAGAAATAATGACAGAAAACTTCCCCTACCTGGTGAAAGAAATAGACTTACAAGTCCAGGAAGCGCAGAGAACCCCAAACAAAAGGAATCCAAAGAGGACCACACCAAGACACATCATAATTAAAATGCCAAGGGCAAAAGACAAAGAGAGAATCTTAAAAGCAGCAAGAGAAAAACAGTTAGTTACCTACAAGGGAGTACCCATACGATTGTCAGCTGATTTCTCAACAGAAACTATGCAGGCCAGAAGGCAGTGGCAAGAAATATTCAAAGTGATGAATACCAAGAACCTACACCCAAGATTACTCTACCCAGCAAAGCTATCATTTAGAATTGAAGGTCAGATAAAGAGCTTCACAGATTAGAACAAGCTAAAGGAGTTCATCACCGCCAAACCAGTATTATATGAAATGCTGAAGGGTATTCCTTAAGAAGAGGAAGAAGAAGAAAAAGGTAAAGATAAAAATTATGAACAACAAAGTGACAACAAATACATATCAACAAGTGAATCTAAAAATCAAGTGAATAAAAAATCTGATGAACAGAATAAACTGGTGAATATAATAGAATCAGGGGCATAGAAAGGGAGTGGACTGACAATTCTTGGGGGAAGGGGGTGTGGGGGGTGCAGGAAGAGACTGGACAAAAATTGAACACCTATGGACAAGGACAATGGGGGGGGGCGGTAAGGGCATGGGGGTGTGGCGGGAACCGGGTGGAGGGGAGCTATGGGGGGAAAAGAGGAACAACTGTAATAATCTGAACAATAAAGACTTATTTAAAAAAAAAAAAAAACCTATGAGAAGGCAAGGAATGGAATGGCAGTTTGGTACTCAACTTGGCAGCAGTTTCTCCTACCTTTTGCTTAGGCCTTCTATTGACCACTGTGTAATGCTGTAATGGGGCCAGGGGGAGGATGAGGGAGAGAGAGAGAGAGAGAGAGAGAGAGAGAGAAGAAATGCAAAGCTAGTTTTCCCTTCCTTTATCTACTCTTTATCTTGCAATCTAGCTCTCTTCAGTTGGTGAGTGCAAGCACTCCAAACCCAAAGCTAAACAGCATTGTTTAATGAAAACATGGGAGGCTGGTGGAAAAGGATAACATTGTAAGGTTGTTTACAGTACTGAGAGTGGACAAATCCTAAGCAGAGCATAAAGGATAGGAAAACAGTCATTGCAAGATCCAACTTGGTGCTCAATAGAATCTAAGTCTGATGGTTGAGACTGTCTGTACCAGCCTTGAGCCATCTGATTAATGATACATCAATACCTTTATTAAGATTTGGCTCAGTGTCGGCCTTTGGACTGGAGGGTCCCGGGTACAATTCTAGTCAAGAGCATATGTCCGGGTTGCGGGTTCAATCCCCAGTCAGGGGCATGCAGGAGGAAGCCAATCAATGATTCACTCTCATCGTTTATGTTTCTATCTCTCTTTCCCCCTGCCTTCCTCTCTGAAATCAATAAAAATCATTTATTGAAAAATCATTTATTAATTATTTTTCCCTTCTTTTTATATACTTTTAAAAGTGTGGTTGTTCAGATTTCTCATTTTATTCCTTAATATCTGGTTACATTGTTTTGCCTTCTTATACTACTGCTTTTGATTGATCTTTTTCTTTATTCATTTTCTAATATTTCACTAGCCTATTCAATTGTTATGATCTTTGATATATGAATAGTGAATATGAAACTCTATAACATTGTGAAAATAACTACATTTAACAGCATATTCTCTAAGTATACCAACATGCACAAATTTCATAAAAGAGAAATAATGCTGGCCCCAAATTACCATTTATGTTTATTTCCTATTCATGAACTCTCTTTCTGGAAGTATAAAAATAAAGATATGACTGATACTTACCCCACTAGACCTACATCAGCTATAAGTTTTAGATCAAGGTGAATTATTCGTCTCTGGCCTTTCAATGGTAAGAAATTTGTAAGGAATTTACCACCAAGACCTCCTTCAGCTACCAAAATTCTGTCTTGTTCTTTATTGAGTTCTCCTTAAAAAGAGAAATAAAGACACTTAGAACCAAGATTAGTAAGTGAAGCTAATCCACTAATGACATTTTTCTTTCAGAAATAGATACCAGAAATTTCTATTAAAACCTTGACCCTGGCCTGGCCGGAGTGACTCACTAGTTGAGCATCGACCTGTGAAGTAGGAGGTCGTGATTCAATTCTCTCTCTCCTTCTCCTTTCCTCTCTGAAATCAATTAAAAAAAAAAAAAGCTTGACCCTGGAAAATACTTTTGTATGCAGTTCAAAGAGATTAGTTTATGTTTTAAAAACAAGTTAAATACTCTTATATCTTTAAAATGATCTGAAATCTAGCAGTTAATTTTGAACAGCCTTTACATAACATTTTAAAAAGTTCTTTCATAAATTAGCAGTTAATGTTTAAAAAAAAAATTCTGAAACTCAAGAGGTGCTATTCCCCACAGCTCCCAAACACAACTTTAGAATCTACAGTACACTTACCTATAATTTTACCATTTTCATCAGTTACTGAAATACCCACAGGTGCAGGAATTTCACAATCTTTTCCTTTGGAGCCTTTCAGTGCACTAACACTACATAAATAAACAAACAAACAAACAAATAACTCTAATATAAAATAAGGAAAACCCACAAAATTAAATGGCTTATGCTTCAAGCAAATATAATGGCCTATAAAGAAGACTGGCAACCAACTCTTCTGATGTAGATGTTAAATGGACAAATATAAAGGAAAACTAAAATTATCCCTAATTATTTATTTGCATTTTAGACTATCATATCCCAATAAAAATATTAAATAATAATTTAAGTTACCAAGCTAACCACCAAAAGTCACTATAAATCATAATAAATTAATATCTTGAACACCTGAAATGTACACAAATAAACTAGAAAAAGAAAAATCAATTGAATAACAAAGCTTTTAAAAAACTGACCTCAACTGAGAGTACTTTAATTATAGGGGGTTCATCTAGCTGCTCATGAGAGAATAAATTGGTACAAACTTCTAACTAGAAAATTCACTTCTGAGAATTTATCCTAAAAGAAAATAATTGAACAAACATGTAAACTACTATATATACATGAATGTGTGTTACATTGAGTATAACAGTAAAAAAAATCAATAATTACCTAAATAGATGAATGACAAAATAATATTATTTCCAATACTATAATACTCTGCAGCCATAGTAAAAATAGCACAGAAAATTTAAGTGAAAAGAGGAGGTTGCAAAATATTGTCCTCTCATTTTTGTACCCCCAAACTATCTACACACACACAAGATTACATTTGTGTAAACACACAGAAAAGTCAAGAAAAGGTTAGTACAAGTTATTTCTGAAATTATAGGTGACCTTTTATAAAACCTTTTTATTCCTGAACTCCATGAGTAGTTCAGAATTCCCAGACCCACACACGTGTAGGCTCTCTCATTCATATGACTTGTCACAGTTATAATTTTTCATTTTTCAGGTGTCTGATTAATGTCTGCTCTCCCATTACACTACAGTAACTTGCAGAAGGGAAGAGAACATATTAGTTTAGATCATCATTGTATCCTAGGCATCTAGTACAGTGATTGGTACATAGTGGAAACTCAATTAACATTAGTTGAATGAATGAATCAGGTTGACAGTAATGGATGAATTAGAAATATAGTAAAGAAAGACTTAAATAGAACACTTCTCTTATTGGGATGTATGTTGCAATTTTTAGAAAGTAGAGGCAAGATTTAATTTCATTCTTATTTGTTACCATTGGTGAACTTTCTATTAAAATATTTTATTAAAAACATTGACACTTAAATTTCAGAATAACATTGGATACGGTAGTGTGTTGTGAACTAAAGACACTGTAGTCCAGATCATGAAGAGACTGATATGCTCTGTTGGAAAGTTTGAAGATTATCTCAGACAGGGAACATTGAAGGATTTTAAGTAGGCAAGTGACATTAACAAGATGACGTTTTAGAAAAATCACTCTAGGAATAACTGGATAAAGAATGGATTGAAGGTGATGACTGAGACTGGAGACAGGAGACCAAATTGGAGAATATTGCAATATTTCATAAATAATGACTGTCTGAATTAAAGTCTGGCCTGTACCTATCTTTCCAGTCTCATCTTCCTCTATATTCTGTGTTTTCTGCATTCCAGCCACGCTGGCCTTCTTTTAGTGTCTTATACTGCTACTTGTCTTCTATCACTGGGCCTTTGTTCATGTTACCTTTTCTGCAATGCTTTTTACGCCCCTTCACCCAGCTGGTTCCTATTAATCCTTTAGATTTAAGCCTCTCTGTTCTAAAAATTCAACACACAATCCAGTAAGAAATATGTTCTATTTAAATCTCTCTTAACATTTAAACATTGTATACCACCTTTAAGTATACCACTGATCTAAACACTTTAAAATAACATTCTGTATTCAAAACTTTAATTACTGAATTCTAACAAATATAAGGCTCTCAAAATTTGTCCTATAAAATGGTCTCATAAAACAAAATGCTCAAAAGAAATTTAAAGGATTTCCCCAAAGATTTTCTTACAAGCAGGGGGTGCTGCCGCATAGTTTGGGCAGGATAATTTGAGGTTGTTTTTGTTGTTGTGTCTGTTATAGGGTGTTTAGTATCTCGGCCTCTATCCTTTACTTATATCCATCCCCCAAGTAAGTGTCACATTTCATCATCTGGTAGTATGACAAATAAACATATCAAAACACTTCTGTGGGAAGAAAAAAAAAAAGAAACAGACATAAAACCTAGCTGTTATACCAATACCTCCTATGGAATAACAGAGTAAGATAGGCCTGAGGAATCATAGCCTGCAATTTGATGGAAGCTTTAAGAATTTTTTTTCTTCATTTTCTTTATAACAAAAGAAAAAATCCTTCTCATATTTTGAGGCCAACATAGTATGTTCCACAGAAAATAACAACATTAATGAAAAATAAAGGAAAGGTTTTGTCACAGAAAGAACGACACAGAAGCAAAGGGGAAAACATATAAGAGATATCAGTGAAACAGGTTCTAAATTTTCAGCACTGCCTATAAGAAGCTGGCAGAACTACTGGTGGTGATGGGATGGAGTAGCTTGGCTGAGATTTGAGGAAGGTTTCCCAAAAGAAGAAAACAGTGGGAATTCACTTTCTGTTTCTACAGGGGAAGTGCAAACAAATATAAACAGACAGTGGGAGAAGAAAAGGATAAAAAGTTTGAATGTCCCAAAACATTTCTTAGTAACTATCTTGTATCTTTACTAGAGTTGAGACAAATGAAGATTTTTGCTCAGTTACAGGATATAATTTACTTCAAATCACTAATTACAACTTTATCTTTTAATTTTTTTTCCTTTTGGGAGGGATTACTTTCATAAAATCAAAGTCATTCAATAAATACTCACCGACTGTTTGCTCCTTCTCCAGCCACAAACCGTTTCTGAGGATATTTGTCTTTAAGTTGTTTTAAAGTCATTTTTTTATGGGCTACCACCCAGACGTCACCACCTTTTCCACCTTCTCCACCTAAGCGAGGGTAACCCATTCCACCACTTCCTCCCCTGGTGAAGAGTCTTAGGTTATCAACGAAGTTTCCATACTTAAAAAGAGAAGGAGAAAGAGAACATTTGTATACCAAATGTGCTTACCAATAAGAACTCCTTCCTAGGTATTTGTTGCCTCTAAAATGCCTGAAAAAATAAAAAGGGGCTTCCTGAATGCAAAATTTAAAGTCTTTTCTCAGTTCATCTCCTGTCTGACCTCCTCTTCCCATTTAACTCTTAAAACTCCCCCCCCCCCCCCCCCCAATTATTCAATTGGTGTCCCCACCTATTCTCAAGGTCTCTGACACTGGTCCACTTTTCAAACTAAACTGTCTCCCCTGGGTGATTTCAGCCTGTACCAGTAACTATTACCTAGGTGAGATATTCTCTATGTCATTTGGACATCACTAAGATGTAAGCTTAATAGTTTAGAGTAGTGGTCGGCAAACTCATTAGTCAACAGAGCCAAATATCAACAGTACGATTGAAATCTCTTTTGAGAGCCAAATTTTTTAAACTTAAACTATATAGGTAGGTACACTGTTATTAACTTAATTAGGGTACTCCTAAGGCTTAGGAAGAGCCACACTCAAGGAGCCAACGAGCCGCATGTGGCTCGTGAGCCGCAGTTTGCCAACCACGGGTCTAGAGCAACTGAGAACAAGATCTGTATTTAACTTATAATAGAGACCCCCTCAAATATGTAACTTGTTCCTGGGTATTGAAAGGATAAGTCATCTCAAATACATGTTACTATGACAAAACCAAACTTTTCCTTAGGTGAAGTCTGTTCCTCCAATGTTTTCAAATGATGGAAGCAATTTACTACTCATGGAGACTACATGTGGGAATCTTTGATTATACCTGCTTCTTTTCCCGAAGCCCTAGCTCTTTCCTTCCTGTTACAACCTGCCCTCGTACCTTAATCGTTACATTAGCTCCTAACTGGTCTATCAGTGTCTAGTCATTTCTTCCTCAACCCATCCATCTTGCTGACTGAGCTATTTTTCCAAAAATGGATCTCTAAGCATGTTTTCCCCTTATCCAAAAACCATTCAAGGGTTTCTGTGTGTCTGTGTATATTTTGCTGTTTATGAAATAAAATCTAAAATTCTCAGTACTGCCCTAGGCAGTTTTGTTCAGTGGAGAGCGTCAGCCTGTGGACTAAGGGTCCCAGGTGTGATTCTGATCAAAGGCACATACCCAGATTGTGGGCTCCATCCCCAGTGTGGGGTGTGCAGGAGGCAGCCAATCAATGATTCTCATCATTGATGTTTCTATCTCTTTTTCCCTCTCCCTTCCTCCCTAAAATCAATGAAAATATATTAAAAAATAAAATGCTCAGCACTATATTCAAAACGCTTAACCTACCTCTGGTTCATTTCCATTCGTTCAACCCCTCCTATGTTTTTCCTCTTTTGCTCTGTACTACTAGTTATACTTTTACACCTCCATGCCACTCTGCTCATGCTTTTCCTCTACTTTCTGTAATTTGTTTTCTACCGTAAACCTACCTGAATGCCATTTGCTGATGTCTTTCTTAATTCCTTTAATCAACACTTATCAACTTTGCTGACCTCTTAGTCATTTGATCATACCTCTATTGGTATTAGTACACTTTCTGAAATCTTATACTGCATTTAGTATTTACTTGTTTCCCTGACTAAATCAAGACCTTCTTGCAGGTAAAGAGCCTATGTATTAACTCTCAGATTATCAAGATTCCTTACAGAGTAATTTCTTAAATTAATAATCTTCACATCTTTAGTCATCTAGAGTAGTTGCAAGTATCAAAAACATCTGTAAACTTTTTGCAAAATACATGCACTCCGCTGACCTTTCTGATATGCTCTGGAGGAGGGGGGAGAGGCTACCTCAAGCCAGGACATCTAGCAAAAGCTCTCTTGGTGGTGCGTATGCAGTTCAGACCTGAGATCGCGGTGCATGGGTCATAGAGAATCGAATTGCAGGGACTCATTTAAGTATGCAAATGTATTCATAAAACAGAGTGTTGTAAGAGAATAGGGTGGGAGAAATATATAAAAGATAAACTTGAGGGCCAACCAGAGCATTTTTCTCTGGACGTGAACTTAGGCTTTCGTTCTGGCAAGGCTAGATCAGAAGAATTAGATTCCAATTGCAACGACACTGATTGGAAGTGACCTTTCATGGCAGTAAGGTTACACAAGTGGACTTTTTATTAATTTATCCACAACAAAATGCAGTAGTTTGTGCATTTTCACTGCTTTAGATTGAACATATTCAGAGACTTCGAACCCAAATTTAAAAGAAATATCTCAATCTCATCGTTAGTAATAAGGTAATGCCTGAACTATAATGCTGGCTTGTTGCAAAAAGCATTACTAGTAAGGTTCTCAAAGAGGCTTTTAAATGTGAAGCAACTGTATATTTTTTACAGTTTAAAACCGACACTACACAAAAACTGACCTAAATTTCTTGCAAGAAGGCAAGCCTATTATTACATATTTTCATTTCTCTCTCTCCCTTCCTCTCTGATAAGAACGTACCTAACACTGATGAAAAGTCGTCTTTAGAAAGCTCTTAAGAACCATGCACTAAAGATAAAATGTGTATGTAAACGGCCCAGGACTACGAATACTATTTCTTAAGAGGAAAATACACGATTTGAGCCCAAAGCAAAAGTCAAACCTCCACTCCACGCACACAGTATGGCATGTCTAAAAGCAGGCCTACGCCCCAGCTCTCCATCCCACGTCGCACAATTCCCCAGAAGAATCTCACACCCGGTCCCCAAGCCGCCGTCCGAACCGAGCCGGGCAGACACACCCCCTCCCAGGCCAACCCGAGAGAAGACTAGGGTGGAAAAAAGCAGGAGAGAGACCCCCAAATAGCAAGAGGGGGGCTGGGAGAGGAGAACCAGAGCCCCCGGGCGGGGCTAGGAGCACCCGGCCCTTGGCCATCAGGCGGAGGAGCACCTGCACGGACCTTCCTGAACAACACGCAACCGCAGTGCACCATGACTGCGACCCGCCAGCACTCGCTCCCGCAGAACGTGTCTGCGCCGAGTCGCCGCGCAGCCTTTCTACGTCATTGCCGGGCGCCGACTGTGTTTCTCCGCCGGCTCCGGCGGGGAAAGCCGCATGCGCCGTAAGCTGTACTCTTGCAGGGCTAGGCGCATGCGCGGTGTGGTGCGACCAGCGGAAGGTGGGCTGTGTTTTGTTTATGGGAAAGCAGCACAGGACTTCGAGGCAGTGTCGAGCCCGGCCGTGCGGCTCAGTGGTGAGCCCCGGCCCAGGAACCAAGAGGTCAGGTTCAGTTCCTGGTCAGAGCACAGGCCCTGGTTGCAGCTTCACCACCAGCAGGGGCCTGCATGGTGCAGAACAATGATTCTCTCTCATCATTGACGTTTCTGTCTCTCTATCCCTCTCTAAAATTAAAAAAAGTATATTTTTTAAAAAGAGATTTCCTTATGAAAGACATATATATTGTATGATAATAAACTGTTTGTCAATAGACTAAAATGAAAATTGTCAAACTTGATTCTCTTCTTTTTTTAAAATATATTTTCTTGATTTTTTACAGAGAGGAAGGGAGAGGGATAGAGTTAGAAACATCGATGAGAGAGAAACATTGATCAGCTGCCTCCTGCACATCTCCTACTGGGGATGTGCTGACAACTGCAACCAAGGTACTTGACCGGAATCAAACCCGGGACCCTTTAGTCTGCAGGCCAACGCTCTAGCCACTGAGCCAAAACTATTAGGGCTTGATCTCTTCTTTGTAGGTTATCTAAATTGACTTTGTGTCTTCTTACCCTGTTAAATAGATCCCCACTTTTGTCTATCATGCTTTGGTTCTGCTTGTCCATAACTAGGTTAGAAACAGCAAAGGTGAAGTCTGTCATCAATTTCACACCCCTCTCGCTGGTGTTCATTAATTTCCTATAGTGACAGGATCTTCCCTCTACACCAGAAACTCTTCCCAGGGCCCTCCAGGGAACTCCTACTGTGGTCTTCCTTCCTCCACAGGCATCTTAGTTTCCTCTTTCTTTACTCTTATATCAAAACGTACCCAGCCCCTACTTTATTTTGGGGGCAGTAGCAAGGACTGGCTAGCCAGTCTGACTAATTAATTGTGTCAAGATGTTTCTAGCTGGAATCAGCAGAAAGTTACTCCTAGTAAAAATAATTGCCTAGTAAACAGCTTCTGGTTACTTCATTCAAGACAGATATCTCTATTGCTGGAATTTTCAGGTGCCATAGCAGGTCAGTGGGAGAGATTTTTGGTGGACGGGCAGGTCTTTCAGATCTGCTTAGCAGATGTTTCCTGTGACATCGACTATAAGCCTAACCCAGATGGAAAAGAAGGAGATTAAGTGTGTAAATACATAAGCCTTTATAAGTGAGTATTCAGGTCTCTTTATGAGACAACAACTATACTCAAATTCCCAGGAAGTTTCCTACGCAGCATATAAATGAAAGTACCTCACTACATGTAGAACCATACACATAATTTTATTGTTTTATATTATTCATCCCACTTCTCTATATTAATATAGTTATTCAAGATGTAAATAGTTTACCTCACATACTGTAAGATTAACTTTCTGATACTCTTCAGCATCTATAATTTTTGTTATGACCATTATAGGCTAGCAAGCAGTAATCATTAAATTGGATTAACTAGGACTTAATAACAAAAGGCTTCCTCTGCATTTCCTCTCCCAGAGCCATCTCAAAGACAAAATGTTGAAATAATAGGTGGGATTGATATATATATATTTTATTGATTTTTTACAGAGAGGAAGAGAGAAGGATAGAGAGTCAGAAATATCTATCAGCTGCCTCCTGCACACCCCCTACTGGGGATGTGCCCGAAACCAAGGTACATGCCCCTGGCCAGAATCAAACCTGGGATCCTTCAGTCCGCAGGCTGACGCGCTATCCACTGAGCCAATAGCTGTTTTTCTTTTTAGTATTCATAACCTCCCTTTTATGCATCCCCCTTCTCTTCTTTATAATTACTTCTTCTTACTACAGGTACTAGGTAACTTTCTGCCTTCCTCTGATAGTGCCCATTAAAACTGAATCTCAGGCATGGATTTGATACCTGTATTTTACCAGTTGACATGATTTTTAAGTCAGTGTGTTAATTCTCTCAGAGCATTAATTTTTTTACTTTTTGTAACTATTAAAAAAATTTAAGCTATATTGTAGGAGATCCTTCAGTTTAAAACCTTTTGGGAACCAGAGGAGGCGTCTTGGTATCACTAATATAACAGAATATCACAGCTGACTTTGCTTCTATAAGATCATTCTAGCCCATTTATTTTATTGATTCTATACCCTAATGGTCATCCAAGGAAATAATATAACCCAAAGCTCTTCTTCACTGTAATCCTTTATCCATAATGATCTCCAGGGATGTTTCTCCCCCCCCCACACCCCTTAAATAACAAATTTGGTCATATCACTGTATTCAAGACCCCTCATGGTCTCAGAATGACTGCTGTAGTTCCAGCCATCATGTCCATGTTCCAGTTGAGAACATTTATGATGTTGCTTTCTTGGAAGTTCTGTTCTTATATCTTCTTGCCACTTTAATGTTGAAAAAGATTTTTTAAAAAGCTGGATACATTGCCATCTCCAACTATTTAACTATCAACATCTTATCCTTTTTAATATAACCTAACAGGGTCCATCTGGCTCAGGCCTTGGACTCAGTATACATTTTCTGAATATTAATTAATTAATTTATTTATTCTTAAGAAAGACAGTAGCTGGTTTGCTAACTCCTCTGACATATGAATCACCTGAAGTGGGGCATAGAGTTATTCTCACTCATTAGCCTTATAATCCCCAAAAGTAACCTCAAATATTCTTTTCGTTTCATGCTATTCAAAATATTGTTACTCTGAGAACCATTATAAATTGGGGTCTTACACTGTACAATTAAATCAAGTGGATTGAACAAATGAGAGCTATATACCAGGTAATCTCTTCCTCTCTCTAAATTAAAATGTAGCATTGTCAAAGTGAGGGCCTTAGGCCATACAATTTTTGTCCTGAAATAAAACCTATGTAAAGAAAAAAAAAAGTGGCTTTATCTTACTGTCTTCTTCCTAAGGATTTACGGTTTGTTCATTCATCCATTCATGTAACAATCACTGAGTAACTAATTTATCTCACACACACAGCTATGTACTAGAAAACTGCCATGATTTTTAGAATTATTAAGCAAGAATAATAAAGCAGAATAGTGGTGCTAATGAAAGAAAGAAGCAAATTTTAATATTTCTGATACCAGAATTCAGTGAGCGGATAAAACTTATCCCTAAAGAACATGAATTTACTTTGCTCTTAATGCATCCCGTTTTTAATAGGAAGGGTATCATTGAAAGGTTACTTTCTTAGAAATATTTATAGAAATCCTAAGAATTAGTTGAGTCATGTTTGTAAGCCCCCCATTATCAACCACTTGTACTAGAGCAGTGGTTCTCAACCTTCTGGCCCTTTAAATACAGTTCCTCATGTTGTGAGCCAACCATAAAATTATTTTCGTTGCTACTCTATAACTGTAATGTTGCTACTGTTATGAATTGTAATGTAAATATCTGATATGCAGGATGGTCTTAGGCGACCCCTGTGAAAGGGTCATTCGACTGCCAAAGGGGTTGCGACCCACAGGTTGAGAACCGCTGTACTAGAGGAATAAAAATATCTTAAGGGGCTATTGCTATACTATGAGTCATTGATTGTTTTCTTTTTTTTAATACTTTCTTTTAATCATCTACAGGTATAAGAATGGCAGTGGAATTATCAGGAAGCCCTTTGATCATGATGCTTCCTGCTTGTCCAAAACAAGAGTGCTCATGCAGCAGGAAAGTCAATAATATATTCAGGATTCTCATGTACCTAAGCCATTTTCTTTGTTGCTTGTTACTGAGAGTACTTCATAAAGCAATAGCCATTTACAGTGAAATAGAATTCTTAGATTTTTAAAGAATAATTCAAAATAAGAAAATGAATGTTTATATCAGTACATTCATATATAGTTTGTCTTTAATACTACCACATCGTAAAGTACCCAGCTTGAATATTCTTCTCTAGAAAGAAGCATTGGCAGACTGCAGTCATTATGCCTAACCACTGCAGGGGTAAGACAGTTTGCTCTCTCAGCAGGATTCTTGGAGGTCCCTACACATCTAAATGAGCATGAAGAAGGGATCAGGCAACCCCTATCCCTGTCCATTGGAACTGGAGGACCTCATCAGTCCAATAATTTTGTGATCATTTCTGTAAAAAATATGAATTTGGGTCTGACATCTTACTTTAGTATGAAGCATTTACTTCATCTTGATATGTCGGCTATAACTTGTCATTCAATGTTCCTGCACAGGTGGGGTCCTGGCAGGTGATCTGGGCCAATAGAGGGAGGTTGGCTGTGGGAGCACACTGACCACCAGGGGGACAGCTCCTGCATTGAGCATCTGCCCCCTGGTGGTCAGTGCGCATCATAGTGACTGGTCTACTGGTCGTTTGGTCGACCAGTCATAATGGTCACTTAGGCTTTTATATATATAGATAGTTCTGGAAGTCCTAGCCACAGTGATCAGACAAGAAGAAAAAAAATCAAAGGCATCGAAATTGTAAAGGAGGAAGTAAAACTCTCATTATTCACAGATGACATGCATATTGTACATAAAAACCCTAAAGACTCCACCAAAACACTGCTAGATTTAATAACTGAATTTGGCAAAGTAGCAGGATACACAATTAACATCCAGAAATCTATGGCACTTTTATACATCAATAATGAACTCAGAAAGATAAACTAAAAAAAAAAATCTCAAATACCATTGCAATAACAAAAAGAAAATAAGATACCTGGAATAAACTTAACCAAGCAACTAAAAGACCCATAC